TCAAAACAGGTCACCTCTCTCGCCATTTGGATTCGCCCTTTTTCTTGTTGAGTGCGTCTCGTATGTTACTAAAGAACAACAACAGCCGCTTGCAAGGCGGAACACCCAAGCTGCCCGACTTACTCTTCCAACTGCGACAACTTGTCGAAAGAACCTCCAAACCGTATTTCCTGTAGTACAGATCTTCATCAACACACGTGGTCAACTACTACTCACCAGCTTATCTCGGAGAGTCTTGAGAACCTGTCCTAAATCTCGACGACGTTTACGCATGCCAAAGTGCCTGTCAATGAGAAATCAGTTCGGGGAAGGCGAACTAAATGGATCTCGAACGTTTACTTTTTCTCCGCATCCACGATCGGCTCTAAAGCCCTTATTTCCTCTTGCATGGGTCCTAGCGCCTCCCAGCCCATAGTGTAACTGCATCAACCATAAAAGAGTTGCCCGAGGAGTGGTACGGTCACTTCTTAGATGATTCATTGACGAATCTGCCTTCTGTTGTGGCGTCCTTAGTCAACTTCACCAGCTCTCTGAAAATGTACAGTCCGCAGTTGACCCTTTTTCTCTCATGCTGCTGGTCGTCGATGTTTCGTATCGTTCCATTGAAGATATCCACACAGTCCTTCCTCCTGACATGAAATACATATTCGAAATATACCGCGAGCGTTGAAATGCATGTTCGCTTTCCTCAGCTGAACTCGCAAGTTTTCCCACCACATTGTGAAAAATTGCGCACGAATTAGGGTAGAAATAGGTAAAAACCTACGAGAATTTCCAAAATTTCCTCTAAAATCTCATATCATCACCAACAGCCATAGCTGACCATATGCATATTCCCTCACACTGCCCCCTTACGAAAACGGCTTCATTTTCGAGTCCATAATCTTCTCATGCGTGAACTTCCCCAGCCCAAAGAGACCGCCCGCGACCACCGGCAGCGCCGCAGATATCACAGGGCCGATCAACAGTGGAAGTAGCTTATGCCGCTCTACAAGCGACGTAGCATTGACCCCCTTCAGTGAATCCAATATCCTGACAAGCGTACCACTCCTTAGTCAAAACACGGACAAGATGCGATGCTACTCACTCGAATGCATGCTTTAACCTGGGATGAACAGTAAGTCTCTTTCCTGCTCTAGACGCATGATCGCTGATTTCTCCAGAGTTTCCAGAACCCGGTTCCGTAGGTTCTCCTCGATGAAACGTTTTTATTGCCCCCTTAGAACTGCTGTGAACTTGTGTGGAGTCAGGCGGCTTGCTCCTCCCTTTCCACCTTTGCAAGGCTTGGTAGTCGCCCGTGAGCCCCGATGTTATCCCCATGAACAGTAACAGGCAGACCAGATGGGGCATAGGCGCGGGCATAAACATACAAACACACGCCGATCAAAAGTACTGGCTGAAGAGGAAGACGATAAGTTGAGGAAAGGGCTCCAACACCACACACAAAATCCAAGTGAACTGTTGAGTGTACATCGGCGAGTTTTCACTCGTAGAGTGTCAATACACATCTCGCAGGTCTCGGGTAGATATACTACATTGTTGTCGGAATTAATACAGGGTCTGCAGCATCGCGATGATGGAATCCTAGATGAATAACTTTATCCCATCGAGAGTCTTCAACTAGCAGTTCCTCTATCTTTCCAATGCATCGGTCCGAGCACTTCTTCGGCGTCCACAAGCTACCTTCAGGAGTACCAATAAAGCCCTTGTAACCATTAAGTTGGGCACTGGCATTCCCAGCTTGGGGTTTCCCAAGCTGGCCGTTTAGGTGGTAGTCACTTATGAAGCCAGCAAAAACAGTAGGTTCTACCAGGGAGGATCTGTAGAGTAGAAAAGCACTGCCCTATAACGACCACCCACAATGCATATCAACAAATTACCACCACTATGGCTTCCCCATGATATTACCTTCCCACCCACCCGTTTAAGAGTCCATCAAGGGCTGACAACAGGAAGAGTAAAAACAGCAACCTGAATATTGTAGGCTGGCACTGTGAAGCATCTCAAAAGACGAATTAACGACATTGCTGCTTGCCCTACGACGACTCTGCTTAGCATGAGGCTCAACACAGTGAATTAACTTGCATCCGCAATCTACTCTATGGCCACCTAAGCGATGAATAATGTTTTATAAAAACACAGGTACAAGCCGCAGTGACCGCCGTTACTCGAATACTAAACAGATTAAACTGCCTAGGAAGCCCTATTATTCACATCCAGCAGAAATCGTCACGTTGCGATATCTTCATTTTGGTGCGGTCGCCACCGAAGTTGCGCAGAAGGACAATTGAGGAAATCCAAGAGAGAGCAAGAGCGCAAGTTGATATTCGCCCCAAACGACCGCTTCGACACTTTCCCGTCTACTCCAACTTCCACGGCCATGCAGGTTCAACCCTTCTCAGCTACCAATAGACGCCGAGTTTACATCGTTGAGTCCCCTCGCACCTCAAGGGATTCCAGTAGGCCACCACTGCCCTTCCTGCCGTTACGTGGTTCTTCAGACGAGAGCGGTAACGGTACATCCGTTTCGCCCGACCCGATTCCGATCCATCAAGGTAAGTTTAGGCAGTGCCGGGAAGGCTTCCGGGGGCGAACTGAAGGGCTCCGTCCCCCGAGTTCAAACTGTTGGAAAAGCGTCTTTTACGAGAGTTTGGACGAAAATGACGCATCAGAGTGTTCGAAAAACTTCCTCAGAAGTCTCAGCTTTTTCCCGAGTTCGGAG